TAGTAGTAGTAGTAGTAGTAGTAGTAGTAGTAGTAGTAGTAGTAGTAGTAGTAGTAGTAGGAGAGGTACAGAAGTTCCCATTGCCTCTGGGTTCCCGATCCCCAGACATCCAACCTAACCTCATATCCAAAGTCCATTCTTCCTAGCAAGCCTACCCATCTCCAATGATGGCTGAATCTAACATGTGCCCTTGCAAACAAGAAGACCAAGTGCCACGCCTAGCGGCCCAGAGCAGCCTAGCGGCGTTCTGAGAGGCCGAATATGACATGGGACCGATGGCGGACGAAGAGTTTGTGGCGGCACATGCCGTGAAGGTGAATGTTTTTCACACCATCGACTATTTGCTCCAGTACAGTCGCTGTCTCAGGAGACTTTGACATGAGTGAATATTGCCATCTACCACCTCTACCACCCTGGCACCAAAAAAACTGGAGATACTGGAGATACTTATATATTCCATGTCGAGATGAGCGAATGAGCAAGCACCACACACAGGCAAAGACTCATCTTAACCTTAAAGAATTGTTTCTTTGACATTGTTTGGCTACAAATCATGCAAGCTTGGAAGCCTGGAAGCCAACAGATTGTAAAGAAGTGCTGAATAACTTGATGTGAGAGGATCTGATCTTGTGTGTGTGCTTTCTAGATTTCTCCCATCGAGAGTCTCCCAAGTCCTGCTGTTGAGGCCAAGCAATCCGTGACGGTGTGGCAAGTGGAGATGTGGAGATTCAAGGCAGTGAAAGCGGCTGCATGTTCGCCGACCCGCATGGGCCTTTTCTCCGAAATGGTTGAGTTGCACAAGATGTACCCCATTTTTTTGGTCCTTTTGTTGGTTGGCTTAATGCTGTTCTTTTTCCCGAAAGACTTGGTCGAAGGGCTCTTCCTAAAGGCACCTGACCTGGCCTGTCTAGCTGAGGCTTTAGCACTTGTAAGAGTCTAGCACTTGCAAGAGATTTGATCAAGCTTTAGCACTTGGTTTATCTAGCTCAGGCTTTAGCACTTGGTTTATCTAGCTCAGGCTTTAGCACTTGTAAGAGTTTTTGCATTTGCAAGAGAATTGACCAAGTTTTAGCACTTGCGAGTGACTTGACCAAGTTTTAGCAGTTGCAAGAGACTTGACCAAGTTTTGTCTTGACATCTCGCTCTTTCAATTATTTTTAAAGCTGGGGCGGACCAAGCAAGAGTACGCGAGAAGCAACCCTCTCGCAGGATTTGGCCTGTCGAACGCCCGAACGTGTAACGAAATGCGAAGTCGGTTGGCGGTGAACCCTCTCGCGGGACCCGGCCTGTCGAGTACCCAAACGTCGTGTAGCGAAACGCGAATTTGATGGGTTCCGGATGAACTCTCTCGCAGGATCCAGTCTCGAGTGCCCAAACGTGTAGCGAACTGCAAATTTGACCGGTGCTCAGGCGACCCTCTCGCAGGATCCAGCCTGTCGAGCACCCAAGCGAGTAGCGAAATGCGAATTGGACTGGTAGTGGGTGAACCCTCTCGCAGCATCCGGCCTCTCAAGTCCCCAAACGTGTAGCGGAATGCAAACTTGACCGGTGCTCAGGCGACCCTCTCGCAGAGTCGGGCTCGTGGCCTCAGAATTGGCAAGCTTATGGTGCAAATGTAGTACGGGAAGCAGCTCCCGTGTGGTGCGGGAAGCCGCTTCTGTGCGAGGTGGCCTCAGATGTAATCTCTGCAGGATCCGGCGTGCTTGCGCGACCCTCTCGCAGGATCGGGCTCGTGCCTCAGAACTGGCAAGCCTACAGTACAATTGTAGTGTACGGGAAGCAGCTTCTGTGTGAGGTGGCCTCAGATGCGGTCTCCCCACCAGCATGCGGCGTGCTTGCGCGACCCCCTCTTGCGTGACCCTCTCGCAGAATCCGGCTCGTGGTCTCAGAGCTGGCAAGCTTATAGTACAAATGTAGTACGGGAAGCAGCTTCTGTGTGAGGTGGTCTCAGATGTGGTCTTGGCGTGCTTGCGACCCTCTAGCAGGATCGGGTTCGTGGCCTCAGAACTGGCAAGCTTATAGTACAAATGTAGTACGGGAAGCAGCTTCTGTGTGAGGTGGCCTCAGATGCGGTCAGCTTGAAGATTTTGTCGTAGACTTGTAGAAGTAGACTTGATCAAGTCGTTTAGCATTTGGTCTGTCTAGCTCAGGGTTTAGCAACTTTAACACTTGTGAGAGAGTCTAGCACTTGCAAGAGACTTGATCAAGTTTTAGCACTTGCAAACACCTTTCCAAGGCTTTAGCTCAGGCTTTAGCACTTGTAAGAGCCTAGCACTTGCAAGAGACTTGATCAAGCTTTTGCATTTGCAAGAGACTTGGCCAAGTTTGTGCATTTGCAAGAGACTTGATCCAGGCTTTGCATCTGCAAGGGATTTGACCAAGTTTTTAGCACTCGCAAGAGACTTGACCAAGTTGCCAGAGACTTGACTTTTGCACGCTTTGCTTAAATCTTTCAGGCCTGCAGGGGTCTAGTCTATTTTTTTGGTCAAGTCACGTGCTAGATCATGTTCGCAGAAGTACAACTAGAGATGTTAGAGCTACTTGGAACAATCCGTTGGTCGGCGTAAAGATAAAACATTAATGTCGTAACATTACATTACATTGGACTACGCTGGTTCTCCATCCTTAGGGCATGCTAGTGTAAAAATAATTGAGCACATCGGTCGGTCGAATGAAACGCAAGGCAAGCACACATTATATACAAGGTCGCGAGTCTTCTGTTTATGTTTGGGATGCGTATCAGCATCATGTATTTTTCCTTCATTGAAATGTGATGTACGTGATTACCGCGTTCCCGTCCAAAGATAGGGGCACACTTGACCCATGCAGCTACCTTTTGACAACAGAAACAACAACACGAAACTCCTTTCTTTCAATCTTGGGGCGTGTTTTTGTGCCTGTAAACCTGGTGCAATCTGGAGTGATCTTGTCTAGAGAAATCGATCCAATGTTTGGCTTTCAATTCTCCACTTACCTAGGATTCAGTCAACATCGCCATCAGGAAAGATCGCAATCAGCAACCTCCACCATTCACCGGAATGCATGTCTACCTGGAGGATTGTACAACAAATCCGTTTTTCTTGGCGGGGCCTAGGTCTAGGTCTAGGCCCTAAGCGACTGGAGGCTCCACGTGTGTTTTTAGAAGGCGCCCTCTACGACTTGTCCACTGGCGTGGTGGATTTCATGGGCCGATCCCCAAATCAGGCGGAGCGTTTCCGAAGCGATATGAAGCGATGATGTCCGTCCGAAGCGCCGGTCTTGGAACCAACTGGATGCAGTTCCGCGTGAGTTTTTTGGGGGGGTGCTACTGCTGGTGGAAGAGTTCAAGACTGCCACCTGGCATCCCCAGCCAGGATGATTCACAGTAGGTCAGTTGGTAAGTTCAAATCTGAAAAGCGCTGGCAAAGCCTGCCACCTTCAGCAGTAATTACAACGACATCGGCTGAAAAAGAGTGGCCATCGTGCCAATCATTTTTGATAATTTTTGATCATTTTTCTAAATGCAAGGTCCGCAGCTGTTGCAGATTCAGTGAAAGGACACGGGTGAATTACTAACATGATTGGTGCTGCATCTTCAAATTCTATCAAATTCTCATATTGTACGGAAGTGTTTAGTGAAGTCCTTGGACTCCTGGGGATGAACAAACAATGGGAATTCTTCAGTTTTTCATGAATTCTCCTCTCACATGTCCAAGAAAGCAGTATAAAGCGTAGAGCCTGGTCACCCTGCCCGCACCGCTGGAGGCCGAGCTGCTAAAGTCCGAAGTGTCCTTGCCACCCACCGTGCTCCAGATCAGCCACATGGCAAAAGGGGCCAAAGTGTAGAGATATTCATAAGATCACAGAGATGAATCTTTGATCCAAACAGCTTGGGCTCAAGATGGCTCAAGGAATCTGAATGACTGGAATTCCTAGCGAAGCCTCTCCGACGTGTTGCTGTGCAACCTGGATCATGTCTTTTTCAGCTGAAACCATGTGACAACGAGCGATACGAAACAACGTGTGGCAACCCACGAAAAGATCAGTTGTTTTCTCCAAGCGTAACCTAATTAGCTTCAGGGAGTAAAAGAGGATGCATTGGGGTCCACAAACCTAGCCTCTTGGCTGAGGCCTTGGGGGACAAAGGTTTATCCTCCCTTGCAGCTGAAACAGTCTTGTCTTTACTGCCATGCACATAGATGTCCCAAATTCACAGCACGATTTTGAAGACATGTCAAAGTGTAGTGTGCACACTGGGTATTCACTTTTCATCACTTTTCTATGTTTGCCAGTGTTGTTTTGTTCTTTGATAGGTCAAGGCCACCCCGTGCCATGTACTACTCCTGACCCAAGCTCATAAAGCCAGCGAAAGCTTCCAAATATCCAAGGTAGAACCCATGTGAGGCCGGACATGGGTCACAAGCTAGCTACCTTTCGACCCATAGTCAAGGTATGTCAGGGTTGGATACGGCCATCATCCGTTTGGACCAAGGGAACTCCGCAGCCCGCAGTGGCAAACTGGGGGTGCGCACGGGCGAAGACACGGCCCTAGAGCCGGAGGATGCCTTGAAGCGCTTGATGGAAGGCCGGGTCTGGAGGTTGAGTCGGCCACGTGGTGCGTTCCCGCGCGCGCGCGCGGTCGGTTGAATGAGACATGTCCCATGGGGGGGTACCAGAACAACAGACATATGTCTCATGATTTATCATTGCCCCAGATTGTTTAGAATTTGTTGGGTCATTCACTGCCCCATACTGTAAGTGGTCAAGAACCAAAGGACAATTTTGACTCGGCAGAGTACCCGAACAGGCATTCGTTCTTGGGATGGGTGGGGTCTCCGTTGTTGATGTTACAGTGCAAGGAATGCACGGAGTATGGAATGAATGTAGTTGATTGTAGTTGAAGATTGTCGACTGTAGAGGATACTGAGCAGGAGTTGTGGAGCAATTCCAAATGCCAGGCTGATAAATTGTCATTTGATCCGACTGTCCTTGGTGTTGCGCTTGCGATACCATTGGTTGACAAATTCCTGAGCCATCTGCAGATCAGAATTCCTTTCCAGTGGTATTATGATATTATGTGGTTGTGGATCCAACATTGTTTGTGTATCGATAATGGAAGACTTTGTCCCCAACCGTAAGACTAACTAGGAAGGTATCCTTGTTCCCCAAACTGACAAGTTCACATTGGCAACAGAATGCACCAGAGTATTTTTTAAAGATCTGGCTCCCCTGCGGTGCATTGCGGTGCCTTCTGATGTGGACCTTTGGAATTTTCATGAATGTTCCGTTTCCAAGTCAGATATGCGGGTGTTTCTGAGGTGCTCTTTTCGAAAGGCAGACATAGGCAGACAGGCAGACTGTACCGATGTCGAGCTCGCTGCGTCATGGAGTCGGGCATCGATTCGCAGGCAACCATCGATTCGTCTCAGGCCTGGTCCGGTCGGCCAGACTGGCAGGGTCAGAATCACTTGCTTCGTAGGCAGCATAGGAGATCTAGCTTTTTGACTCATAGGGACATACATTGGCATCCATCGGTTGGGCCCCTGATGATGCAGACCAGCATGAAACTTCCAATTGTTGTCAACACAAGAGTCGGCATGCATTTGGGAACTGTGACCATCTTGCTATTGCATGTATTTAACAGTAGTCACAGTAGTATCATATACAGCAAGCAAGTCATTGATATCTTAAAACAAACGAGGCAAAGACCGTTTTGGCCTCGAGCTTGGGTAGATGTCTTCTCTCGACTCTTCGGCTGACGTCAGGAGAACCGCGGGCCACCGCCACCTCATCACCAATGCGAAAGGCTTTGGTGAAGCAAGGATTCGCCGGTGGGTGGGGAGCGAAGCAACCAGAACCAGGTGGGTGTGGCAATCGAAGAACCTTGAATTTGTTGCATGAAGGCGCGTCTATAAGCGGCATATGCTGGCAGTCTCGATCATAGTCAAACGGTTCTCGCTCTTGCTATCGAGGCAAAAAGGCAAGATTGTAACCCAGAGCTGTTGTGGATGGCCTTCATGTTCCGGCCCAATTTGTTTTAGCAGGGTCTTGGGTCTTGTTTCAAGCATACAAAAGTCTTCTCCACATAGACAGGAAGACGTGGGTAGAGGCACTTCCTACAGAAAGATCCCAGGCACTTCCAACAGATTAGCGACTTCCAACCTCAGATGCGTTCGCACCGTGACTTCCCACAGCGAACTCGGTTTCGAGGACAAGCGCCCCACACAGCGGTGGTGGGGTGCGCTGATTCTCGAGCACCTTTGGAAACCTTGTTTGCCCCCTGGCAGAGTGAGGGTCACAAGATGTTGCAGGCAACATAAATTATATAGTAATGATTTTTAAATGATTACAAATATGTTGGGATTGTCTCAAAAGTCAGCACTATCTACAAACATCTACACTGTCAGAGAAAGCAGCAGCTGGGGCTAGACGATTGCGGTCGATACATTCTTTTACCATCATTTCTTTGCTGGAGTTCCTTGTTGGTGAACATAATTCTTTGCTTTGGCTGACCAGATAGAATGATTCTACTGGCTCCACCAGCACCTCCTACTGTAATTTGTTGTTGAGAACACGACTTCAAGCGAGTGTGAGACACGCCGATATTCAACAGGTTGCGTTAGCCAAATAGTTCAGTAGCAGGATTCTGGAAACGCTGTGTCGTTCAACCCTATATGCATACACAATAGCAATTCTGGATGCAGGCCGTAAAGCAGTATAGTACGTGCAAGCTGATCCATGTCCATGGCGTACGGCGTATGGCCTGGCTGACCTGGCGCTATTAGGTTTGCGGCCATTGCTACTAGGGTGGAGGCCATCGCTATCAGGTTCCTTTTGCTATTAGGTTGGAGGCCAGTACTACTAGGTTGGTGGCCAATCCACTTGTATAATGGCAATGACCTGGCAAGCCCAAAAAGAACATAACAGCACTAGAATATACCAGGAACACCCGAACACATAGGAAAACCTAGGTGTACCAGGAAAACATGGGAAAGCCACCTAAAATAGTCCTGTAGATTGATCGATGTTCCTTTTGACCGCTTCTCGTGGCTGAGGATATGATGCCTGGTGAGCTCTTTGTGATCCGCAATGCGGGCAACACGGCCACGCATGCTGAAGGCCACGCATGGTGACAGCAGAAGGAACCCCTCCCAGACCCAGAAACGAACAGACCCTGTTAGAAATATGTTTCAAATGAACACAGATGTGCGAAAAGACAGAGGTTTTGTTGTGGATGAATTTCCGAAAACGACCATGCCCAGGCTGTCAGTTCTTGATGAGTTATATATGGGGAATTGCATGGAACTGCTGAATACATGACCTTCGTTGCAAGGACATGGTGGTCAACTCAAGACTTCGCTGCTAAGCATTAAAAACATTGCAAGACTGTGTTTGGTTGAAGCCGAAGCCAGTGCAGCTTCACGGACATCTGAACTATTTGCACAGTCCCGGATCTGGAGGCAAACATCAACCTTAGTCAAGCTCTATGGCAGTGTCAAATGGACTTGCCTCAACCGCCAACAGTTGTTTTTGAGAGCCAGGCAGCATGGTCGGCAGCTTGGAGTTTTGTTGTGGAAAGCTGGGATCGCGTCTGATTCTAGTGCCTTGCCTGCACAGAAATGGAGGTTTACAGCGTTTACAGTGTCCAGTCCTCCGCCATGGTCGGCATTTTAGAATGCCTGAATATCACAGAACATCTCGGACCTGTGACCTGTGGTCCGGTTCCAACATCTCGGACCTTTTTCTCGGGTCCTCGGTTCCAGCATTTTCCCAGGTCCTAGGCCACACGCAGTGTGGTGCCATTGTGGGGGCGACTGGGACCTACTTGGCCAATCAGGGGAAGCCCACCATGAAGCCAGGCGAGGGATACCACAGCTCAGGGTGGAACAGGGTGGAACAACTGAACGAGACACGTTTCTTTCGATGACACTCCGGTTTAGTTGTTCTTTCGACATCGTCCACTGTGTCACGAAGAAGTGAAGAGGACACCGGACGTAGGTCGATGGAGCTGGATATGGCTGTGACAGCTATGAGTCATGGCACTCTCCCTCTCCAAACCATGGTAGGTTGAAACATGTTGAAACCCCTTACTGCAAAAGAGGAATCTGTGCATTGGACCCGGGGTCAACCATGATGCCCAGGTTTTGACCCGCAGTCATATGGGTGATTTGGTCGATGTTGGTCAAAAGTTGAGATAGCTAGAGACCCAAAGCAAAAGCGCGTCCAACTGCGTGAGACTTGCGGGAAGGTCCTATATTATCCTATATGCATCTTCTGATATTTTCCGGATCTTCACCAAACTACCCGAAGTTGTCTTCAGTGCACTCAAAGAATCATGGCTGGTTGTGACCAGGGAACTTTGACCACCATGAATCATATCACTGTTCATACACTGTGTAAATCACAAGCAGCACTAGGACCATTTTACATACTCTTAGGCCGGCTTCCATCCACATTCCTGTTCCGGCTTGGTTCGGTTTCCGCGGGTCGATACGTCAGGGAGTGCACTGGAGGGCTTGCTATTGGATTTGGCAGGGACAATTAAGAGCCTCGGCCAGATTCTAATTCATCTCGATTTTGACCCGATGTTGCTCTGATTTTTTTTGGGTGTCCATAGATCATAGGGGTCCTTGGATTTCGGGGGTGTGCTGGTTACCGACCACCAGTGCGGTGGTTGGAGTGAGGAGGGCCTGGATGAAAGAGATCTGCACAGCCTGTGCAACATGAAGAGATTGGTGAAGTTCCACCGCACCAGCAAGTTGCTGTCTTTTTGTCTACTACTAGGAACAAGAAGCTACTAGGTGCTCCTGGCATCGCTACTA